ATCAGAAGTAGATAATATGGAATTTTTCCCTATTATCTACTTCTGATTAAATGTAATATAGAAACCAGATGAGCCTGACAAAAATTGTAAATGCATTTGTAATAATGATTGAATAATTTCATCGGATCTCTATATAGTTCACATGCTAATAAAGTTTAGATCCAGTTAGATCCATGCTAATCTCAGTTAGATCCTTTACTCTAGGTTCTAGGGTTATTTTCAGTTAATTTAGGTTAAAATTACGCTACGCCATAAGAGGACACTTCCCACACCAGTGCACACATATCAGTCAAGACGCTAAGTCCAAGGTAACGATTCAATTCTCCAACTTTATTAGGAGCCATGTACTGCGTATTTATTACATGAAATCATTATCAACATAATTACATAAACTCCTACACTACAAATAATATATTGATCTAGGCTTTACATATTTTGATATCACATTTTTTGGTTACGTGTTTCGATCATAATCATATAAAACTACAAGATCAATTTTATTTACCTTTCGTCATGATGCATGTAGGCCCCTATATACAGTGGAACCCCGATTTTACGCGCCCCGGGAATTTGGATAGGCCTATAACGCAATGAGTCGTTGGACCCCCTTTTTGCTCTTATATAGCTGTAACGTTGGAATTTACGCTACTGTGTTGAGCTATTGAGTCGAATGTATGTGAAGCCAAAATACATAGATAAGAATAGAAGTCAGATGTTTACCATGACTAGCTGTACGTTCTTTTATTGTTTGAATTACAATGCCTCGGTCGTGCTTGTTAGTTGACCGGTTGCTCAGCGGAGTTCTCCTCGATTCTGCCTGCGCTCCAGCTTTTATACCCACAGGCACGCCCGCGGCGCATGCGTGACGCATGCGTCGTACACGTCGCGAAGGCGTTACACATGCCTCGCGCATGCGCCATACATATTCGCGAGGGCGTCATACACGCCCTTCGCACGTGCTACACAGATTCGCGTAGGCGTTAAGTTGTTTTCGACTACGAGGACTACTTAAATTGACTACGTGACGACAGGAGGTTATGTTTTCATCGGCGTGTGTTTGACTGTTTGTTGGTTTGTGGGTTTGTGCGTTTGTTTGTTTGTGTACAGCCTAACTCAAAAAGTTATTGACGGATTGTCATAAAATTTTCAGGATAGGTCACAAGTGGGCTAACTTAGAATTGATTAGATTTTGGTGGTGATCCGAATCCAATTAATAATTAATTAATTAAATTTTCAGGATAGGTCAGAAATGGGGTAACTTAGAATTGATTAGATTTTGGTGGTGATCCGGATCCAATTAATTATTTAATTAATTAATTAATTAATGAAATTTTTCATCATTGCAATATTGCTTGTAGGTGTTAACAAATGCTGCAATGGCATAATAAAATGCATTAAAAGAAATTGTGTTGTCAACGTTACTATGTCATTCAACAAAAGATATGCTTAGCTGGGGACTGTGTGTTGTGGAGAATTGAGCTGCCTTGGCGGAGGTCTGCGCTCTCCGAGTGCTCTAGTTACATATGTAATTATACATTATTATATGTAGGCCTATCGTATATATGTAGTGTGAAGAACAAAGTGCTAACCCATCAACAAATATCAATGAAATGCCATTTCCAATTTTTAGGCACGTTAGAGATAATAATTTTTGGTAATTTTGCTAAATTAAAACTACAAACTCTGCTATGAGCCGCGACAATGTAGAAGTAATTACTAATTACTACTCACGAGGCCCACGGTGTTTTCATTGCCTTTACTCGAGTCCTATTCATCGTGTTCATTTTTAACATCTACACTGTCTAAAAAAAAACTTTAAAAAAACTGTTACAAAAACTGTTAAGGTCTTCTACACTGTCTGAAAAAAACGCTCGCTGCTATACTTAGTAACCGTTGTCTGTGACGTCACATTTGTAATCGTGATGTCACCATTGTGTTTTACAGCATGATGTCACCCATAGAAATAGATAGATAACCTATAGATAGATAGATAACCTAATATAGATAGATAACCTAAAGATAGATAATAGAATAGAAGATGGTTATCTATCTATTTCTATGATGTCACCATTGTGTTATCTCACCAGCTGATGCATTATTGGTGTACGGTGTGTCATCAGACTAACCATTACTTCACC